TTAAACCCACTAAGCTTGAATCAGCGTTTGCAACCACCAATTCTTGAATAAAAACATAAAATCAACCCAAATAGCAAACACCTAATATCAAACTAACTCTAGATGGCAACACCCATCAATTACCCACACTAGGGTTGAGCCACAACCCTAGCTAATGGGTTTAGATACAAATAATTAAGAAAAAAACTAAAGAAATAGATGAAGAACTAAACATATTAATTAATTACTAAGAAGAAACTACAATAATCTATTGTTAATGGGAAGCAAAATATGCCAAAAATGGCTACAACACCAAGCGCANGAAGCAAAATATGCCAAAAATGGCAACAACACCAAGCGCAGCTTTCGTCTCAAGTTCCCCAGATAAAAACCGACCCTAATAATGGTAAAATGTTCTATTTATACTAGGCTGGAAAAACTGGACAAAAATACCCCTGCGGGGTCAGTGCGGGCCGCACAAAATGGACCGCGGCCGCACTGGCTCTTGGACTTCAACTATTTGATAACTTGAACTAGGGGACGCGGACAGCGTGAAGTGTACCGCGGCCGCGATGGCAACTGGCACGGTCCGTGCAGTCGTGATCGCGGACCGCGTGATCAAAAGTGTCCTTCTCTGAACCTTATGAATGCAGACCGCACAAAGCAGGAGTGCGGCCGCGAAGCTTCACTGCGGACCGCAAAAATCCTACCGCGGCCGCGTGTCTTTAAGCCTGAATATGTCATGTCTCTGAACTTCCTAGTGCTGCCACGGTCACTTTTATGCGGTCCGCACTAGGCCCTTTCTTCTTCAATTCTCTTGGTCTTTGATACTTGAGCAGGTTTCACTCCTTTTTGAGCCGATCTTTGACATTTCATCACTTTGTCGATCGTTTGCAATCGAGCACAACTTGTGAGCATTTTGGGACTATTTTGTATCAATTTATACTCAAAGCATAGGCAAGTAGGGGCATAAACACGTAAAAATCCTAAGTTATCAGTGCCACTTACCAACGCCTAGTAAATCAAATGTTTGAAGAATAAATAGGAAAATCCATGGAAGTTTATATTGACAATGTGTTAGTTAAGTCCCTGCGAGCACATGATCATTTAAATCATTTGTAGGAAACCTTCAGTATATTGAAGAAGTACAACATGAAGTTGAATCTAGAAAAGTGCGTGTTAGGAATCGGATCAGGTTAATTCCTAAGGTTCATGGTGTCCATGGAAGTTTAATTGACAATATGTTAGTTAAGTCCCTGCGAGCAGAGGATCATTTAAAGCATTTGTATGAAACCTTCAGTATACTTAAGAAGTACAAGATGAAGCTGAATGTAGAAAAGTGCGCGTTCGGAGTCAGATTAGGTAAATTCCTCGGGTTCATGGTGTCCAACCGAGGAATCGAGATCAACCATGACAAGATCAAAGTTATCGAGGATATCACAGTAGTGGATAATGTCAAGGTCGTACAAAGGCTAACCGAGCGCATTGCAGCACTGGCGCAATTCATCTCGAGGTCTTCCGATAAAAGCATCTATTTTTCTCGTTACTGAATAAGAAAAACAACTTCACATGGACCTTGGAATGCCAACGGGCTTTAGAAGAACTTAAGCGATATTTATCGAGTCTTCCATTGCTTCACACGCTGGGGGCAGACGAACGACAATACTTGTATCTAGCAGTATCGAAAATAGCGGTAAGTGGAGTCCTAGTCCGGGAAGAACAAGGTACACAATTTCCAATTTATTATGTTAGCAAAACCTTAGCTGAGGCCGAAACTAAATAACCTCACCGAGAATAATTGGCATTGCCTCTAGAAAACTGAAACCATATTTTCAATGCAATCCTATATGTGTTGTGACAACCTACCATTTATGAATTATAATGCATAAACCCGAACTCTCGGGATGGTTGGCCAAATGGGCCGTAGAAATCTGCGCGTACAATGTCGAATATCAACCTCGAACAGCCATTAAATCTCAAATTTTGGCAGATTTTGTGGTCGGCTTTACGCCATCCCTAATACCCGAAGTTGAACGAGAGTTGTTGGTAAACTCGGGAACATCTTTGGGAATTTGGACATTCTTTATGGACGGTGCCTCAAACGTAAAAAAGGGGTCCTGACTTGGGATCGTACTAAAGCCACCCACAAGCAATATAGTTAGGCAATCTAGTAGAACTATAAAGTTGACTAACAACGAGGTCGAATATGAGGCCATGATTACAGGTCTCGAACTAGCCAAAGGCTTGGGGCGGAGGTGATAGAAGCTATGTGTGACTCCCTCCTTGTAGTAAACCAAGTTAACGAAATGCTTGAAGTCAGAGAAGAACGAATGCAAAGGTACCTAGACAAGTTACAGGTGACATTACATCGATTCAAAGAGTGGAATTTGCAGCACATACCTCGAGATCAAAATAGTGAGGCCGACGCTCTTGCAAACATAGGGTTGTCGGTCCAAGATGACAAGCTCAACTTGGGGGCGGTCGTACAAGTCATGAAGCCGGTAGTAGAGGAAGGTCACGCCGAAATAAACTCCAAAAGCCTAACCTGGGATTGGAGAAATAAATACCTAGAGTATTTAAAGACTGGGAAACTTCCCTCAAATCCAAAGGAATTCAGGGCCTTGCACACAAAGGTAGCCCGATTCAGCTTGTCCGAGGTTGGAACCTTGTTCACGAGAATGTTCGATGGCCCACTAGCAATATGTCGTGGACCGAGAGATACTGAATACGTTCTAAGGGAAGTTCACAACGGTATTTGAAGAAATCATTCAAGCGCCAAATCATTGGTTCAAATGGTGATCTGAGTCGGTTATTATTGTATCGACATGAAAAGGATGCGAAAGAGTTTGTACGAGAATGTGACAAGTGCCAAAAGTATGCTCAGATGACTCACCAACTCGGGGAGCTATTGCATTCGGTCTTATCGCTATGGCCAATCATGAAATGGGGGATAGATATCAGCATCCCACTTCCATGGGCACCAGGTAAGGCTCAATTTATCTTATTTATGATTGACAATTTTTCTATGTGGGTTGAAGTAGAGGCATACAAGAAGGTCAAGAAGAAGGAAGTCATCGACTTCATTTGGGACCACATCATATGTCGGTTCAGAATACCATCCGAAATTGTACGTGACGATGAAAAATAGTTTATCAGCAATAAAGTGACTAAATTTCTTGAATATCATAAGATCAAAAGGCTCTTATCGACACCTTATCACTCTAGTGGGAACGGACAAGCCAAATCAACCAACAAACCCATAATCCAAAACCTTAAGAAAAGGTTGACTGATGCTAAGGGAAAATGGAAAAAGATCCTGCCTGATGTTCTTTGGGCATATCGCACAACTTTTAAGTCCAGTACCGGGGATACCTCGTTCTCATTGGTTTATGGCGCTGAAGCTCTAATACCCGTCGAAGTCGGGGAGCCGAGTAACAGTGTTACATCCTGTACTTTAACATTAGGATTCATCGAAGTAATAACATATGAGTTGGAAGGGATTAAGGTTATACATGAAGATAAGGATATAAGACCTTGTAAGTTTGAAGAATTTCGGAACTACGATATATTGGCTTGATATATATTTCATTGAAGTAAACCATTTTTGGTAAAAGTTAATAAATACAATTTTATATGGTGTTGATAGGTTTTTAGATTAAATACATGGCATGTATAAATGAGGTTTTATTTATTTTAAGAGTAGATAGTATTTTATCATAAGAAAAGTTATCATTTTTCCGTTTTGAGAATATATAGTACAAAAAGAATTTCTTTATTGTAAAGATATAAATTATTTTCTCACAAGAAAAGAAGGTTATCCTTTTTACCATTTTAAGAATTAAGCGTACGAAATTTGTACTCTTTATTTGAGATTAGAAAAATTAGAAGTTGAGAAAATATATGTATTTTTATATGGGTATTTTAATAAAATAATAGTGTATGTATTAATTTTATATGGTGTCACATGACCATGATAGTAAGTTATACAAAGTGTATTAAAAATAAGTAGAATTTTAATTAATTTGAAACAATTCTTAATTGCGTAGGTAATTGGTTAATTATCGGGTAACGGATTATTATCTAATTAATTAATTTAATATTTTTGCCCACTCCAAGTGACTCTTAAAGTCATTTTGTGATGTGGCAAGCATAGAGATGAGAAAGACCAAGGGGCTAACAGGTGCTGAAATATAACCTTGAATCATTTTCCCCCTATTCCTTTGCAACTTCCCGTTATAATATTCTTGTATGAGTAGACATTGGGAATTGTTCAAGCAGAGAATGGCATTTCCTTCTATATAATACAATAATTCTCTTTACATCTAAACATCTTTCTTGTATTTGTCTATAGAATGGCCAAACTTGGCAGTGATAGAGCTCTAGCATATGAAACAGTTTCCATCCATGAAGTAGAAGCTACAAATTGCAGTGGTGCGCATGAAAGCCAGTTTTATGAGCCTCTAACTGCAGACTCATTGAATTCGGTCAGTGCACATCTGTGAAACGATCCAAAAATTGAAAATTATTAAAGGTGGGGTTTGGTTTTATTTTGGTTGGCTAGGTGAATTCATCCACGGTTTTGGTCTGGTTTGGGATCTATGGGATTTGAGGGAAAGTTGTAATAATATATTCCCCCCGTTATTGTGGCTTTCCTTTTTGGTCCAGCCAATGCATTTTTATATTATGTTCCTTCCATTTTACTTTTATAAGGGAGCATGTTTTCTCTTGGCTAAATTGGAATATCTAAAAATTGGTCAGAAAATGTCTTTGAGACTAATGAAGTGAATCAAGAAAGGAAAATTATTTTATTATGCATTGTTAAAAACAAAGATTGAATGTGGTTGTTAAACTTTAAGATCTTTGCATCTGTTTCAAGACATATTTTACAAGTGCTACTCTAAAATAAAGTTTGGAATAGGTGTTTTTTTTAAAAATAAATTTTAGGGTGGTGACGTCTGGGCTAGTTTGAGCGCTCTATAATTAATCTATTAAGCAGCATGCTTGAAGCCCATAACCCACAAGCACATGTGCCAGATAATCTTGCATTCTTGCTCACGAGGGGTTGGAGATAGACTTACACAGCGTGTTGCGGCTAGAATTTGGACCAAGATTCTCCAGGTATGTTAAGGCTAAACACTTCCTTCATTTTGGCATGATCTTGTCTGTACACAAGTTTGATAACGAAGCATAAAGGAAAATTCATATCCCGAAATTTACGTATATTTTGCTAGTCTCGCAAGTTACAATATTCCCTTTATCGGGACTTCATATTCATTTGAGTATTTTATTCTTCCTCTCAATAGAGCAGAGAGTTTATATATACAGTATTAAAGTAATTACATTACCATTGAGATATAATCGATGGGCAAGCCCCTATTGGGCAATCTCTGATAAAATGGTAAGTTATATACCGATCCTACTTTGGCCGAGCGCTTATGAGCAAGCCTAGTGGTCAAGATACAGAGCCTAGTATGGTCGAGCGCCTATGAACGAGCTTATTACGGCAGAACAGTTATATATATACCGAGCCTACTGTGGTTGAGCGCTTATGAGCGAGCCCAATTGGTTGATATACAGAGCCTAGTATGGCCGACCGCCTATGAGCGAGCCTACTACGACAGAGCAATTATATATATACCGAGCTTACTGTGGTCGAGCGCTTATGAGCGAGCCCAGTTGGTCGAGATACAGAGCCTAGTATGGCTGAGCGCCTATGAGCGAACCTGCTACAGCAGAGCAGTTATATATATACTGAGCCTACTGTGATCGAGCGCTTAAGAGCGAGCCCAGTTGGTTGAGATATAGAGCCTAGTATGGCCGAGCGCCTATGAGCGAGCCTACTACGGCAGATCAGTTATATATATACCAAGCCTACTGTGGCCGAGCGCTTATGAGCGAGCCCAGTTGGTCGAGATACAGAACCTAGTATGGTCGAGCGCCTATTTTACTTACTCTCTTAATATAGTAACTAAAATAGATGTACGACCCTATAAGGCTCGGTATATATATATATATATATATATATATATATAGCGAGCCTTATAGGGTCGTACATCTATTTTACTTACTATATTGAGAGAGTTGAGTCAGTATCAGCATGTAAGCATATCTACAAATTATCTTTGACTTCCAGTTGCTTTCACTTATTATATTATCAATTCAGTTTCAGCTTTCAGTACATGCCTTACATACTCGGTACATTATTCGTACTGACGTCCTTTTGTTGGGGACGCTACATTCATGCCTGCAGGTATAGATAGTCAGTTTGACGAGCTATATCATAAGACGAGATTGGTTTCGGCGAAGGATCGGTAAGACTCCACCTCATTCGGGGTGTAGCCGAGTCTATGAGTTATCGTGTAAAACGTTTTCTACAAATTTATGGGTAGGTCGGTACCCTGTCCCATATGATGTCAAATAATCTTAGAGGCTTTATAGATAGAGGTTCATTTTGTACAGTAGGTCAGAGGCCTTGACGGCCCATATGTATTCAGGTTTTAAGAAAAATGATTCAGTAATACAGTGTTGCTCACTTATAGTTATACATTATGTGTTTTGGCCATGTGTGCCCATGATAGTTACAAAAGGAATGAGTCTATCTAACTCGGCCTTTGTATGTTCTAGTTTTGGTCTAATGATCATGAATAAAAGAGTGGTTCGCTCGGGCCAGTACGACACCGGGTGTCAACCACGCCTCCCAAGGTTTGGGCGTGACAAAGTGGTGTCAGAGCGGGTCGTGTCCTAGGGAGTCTACCAAGTCGTGCCTAGTAGAGTCTCACTTATGGATGTGTTGTGCGCCACATTTATAATTGAGAGGCTATAGGACATTTAGGAAATGTTATTCTTCTTTTGATTCCAAATCGTGTCATACAGCTAAGTCGTAAGAAATTTGTATAAAGCTTTTGTCAGATTATCTATACACTAGAGGTGCTATCACAATAGAGCTTTAAGGCATAAATGTAAGTTTTACTTATGTGGAAGGGAGGTTATGTAAGAAAGAGAAGATACGATGTGAGATTGAAAAGTAAGTAAGGTACAGGTGAAGAAGATACAAGGTACTCAAGCACAAAAAGTTGTGAATAGTCGAAACTTCAGAAATAGTTTGGGCTTTAAGTTTAATTTACAGAGGAGACCCTAGTGAAAAATTTGTAAATCTCTAAGAGTTAACATTCGAGGACGAATGTTCTAAAGGGAGGAAGGATGTTACATCCCGTACTTTAACATTAAGATTCGTCGAAGTAATAACATATGAGTTGGAAGGGATTAAGGTTATACATGAAGATAAAGATATAAGACCCTGTAAGTTTGAAGAATTTCGGAACTAGTATATATTGGCTTGATATGTATTTTCATTGAAGTGAACCATTTTCGGTAAAAGTTGATAAATACAATTTTATATGGTTGTGATAGGTTTTTAGATTAAATACATGACATGTATAAATGAGGTTTTATTTATTTTAAGAGTAGATAGTATTTTATCATAAGAAAAGTTATCATTTTTCTGTTTTGAGAATATATAGTACAAAAGGAATTTCTTTATTGTAAAGATATAAATTATTTTCTCACAAGAAAAGAAGGTTATCTTTTTTACAATTTTAAGAATTAAGTGTACAAAATTTGTACTCTTTGATATTAGAAAATTTAGAAGTTGAGAAAATATATGTATTTTTACATGGGTGTTTTAATAAAATAATAGTGTATGTATTAATTTTATATAGTGCCACAAGATCATGATAGTAAGTTATACAAAGTGTATTAAAAATAAGTGGAATTTTAAAAATTTTGAGACAATTCTTAATTACGTAGGTAATTGATTAATTATCGGATAACGGGTTATTATCTAATTAATTAATTCAATATTTTTGGCCACCCCACGTGGCAGCCTTACCTTAGGGAAATAGTGATTCTTAAAGTCATTTTGTGATGTGGCAAGCTTAGAGATGAGAAAAACCTAGGGGCTAACAGGTGCTAAAATATAACCTTGAATCATTTTCCCCCTATTCCTTTACAACTTCCCCTTATAATATTTTTGTATGAGTAGACATTGGGAATTGTTCAAGCAGAGAATGGCATTTCCTTCTATATGATAGAATAATTCTCTTTACATCTAAACAACTTTCTTGTATTTTGTCTATAGAATGGCCAAACTTGGCAGTGATAGAGCTCTAGCATATGAAACAGTTTCCATCCATGAAGTTGAAGCTACAAATTGCATTGGTGCGCATGAAAGCCAATTTTATGAGCCTCTAACTGCAGACTCATTGAATTCGGTCAGTGCACATCTGTGAAACGATCCAAAAATTGAAAATTATTACAGGTGGGGTTTGGTTTTATTTTGGTTGGCTAGGTGAATTCATCCACGGGTTTGGTCTGGTTTGGGATCTATGGGATTTGAGGGAAAGTTGTAATAATATATTCCCCCCGTTATTGTGGCTTTCCTTTTTGGTCCAGCCAATGCATTTTTTTATTATGTTCCTTCCATTTTACTTTTATAAGGGAGCATGTTTTCTCTTGGCTAAATTGGAATATCTAAAAATTGGTCAGAAAATGTCTTTGAGACTAATGAAGTGAATCAAGAAAGGAAAATTATTTTATTATGCATTATTAAAAACAAAGATTGAATGTGGTTGTTAAACTTTAAGATCTTTGCATCTATTTCAAGACATATTTTACAAGTGCTACTCTAAAATAAAGTTTGGAATAGGTGTTTTTCTTAAAAATAAATTTTAGGGTGGTGACGTCTGGGCTAGTTTGAGCGCTCTTCAATTAATCTATTAAGCAGCATGCTTGAAGCCCATAACCCACAAGCACATGTGCCAGATAATCTTGCATTCTTGCTCACGAGGAGTTGGAGATAGACTTACACAGCGTGTTGCGGCTAGAATTTGGACCAAGATTCTCCAGGTATGTTAAGTCTAAACTCTTCCTTCATTTTGGCATGATTTTGTCTGTACACAAGTTTAATAACGAAGCATAAAGGAAAATTCATATCCCGAAATTTACATATATTTTGCTAGTCTCGCAAGTTACAATATTCCCTTTATCGGGACTTCATATTCATTTGAGTATTTTATTCTTCCAGTCAAGAGAGCAGAGAGTTTACATATAAAGTATTAAAGTATAATCGATGGGCAGGCCCCTATTGGGCAACCTCTGATCAAATGGTAAGTTATATACCGATCCTACTTTGGCCGAGCGCTTATGAGCAAGCCCAGTGGTCAAGATACAGAACCTAGTATGGTCGAGCGCCTATGAGCGAGCTTATTTTGGCAGAGCAGTTATATATATACCGAGCCTGCTGTGGTTAAGTGCTTATGAGCGAGCCCAGTTGGTTGAGATACAGAGCCTAGTATGGCCGACCGCCTATGAACGAGCCTACTACGGCAAAGCAATTATATATATATATCGAGCCTACTGTGGCCGAGCGCTTATGAGCGAGCCCAGTTGGTCGAGATACAGAGCCTAGTATGGCTGAACGCCTATGAGCGAGCCTGCTACGGCAGAGCAGTTATATATATACTGAGCCTACTGTGATCGAGCGCTTAAGAGCGAGCCCAGTTGGTTGAGATATAGAGCCTAGTATGGCCGAACGCCTATGAGCGAGCCTACTACGGCAGATCAGTTATATATATACCAAGCCTACTGTGGCCGAGCGCTTATGAGCGAGCCCAGTTGGTCGAGATACAGAACCTAGTATGGTCGAGCGCCTATTTTACTTACTCTGTTAATATAGTAACTAAAATAGTTGTATGACCCTATAAGGCTCGGTATATATATATATATATATATATATATATATATATATATATATGCCTTATAGGGCCGTACATCTATTTTACTTACTATATTGAGAGAGTTGAGTCAGTATCAGTAGGTAAGCATATCTACAAATTATCTTTGACTTCCAGTTGCTTTCACTCATTATATTATCAATTCAGTTTCAGCTTTCAGTACATGCCTTACATACTCGGTACATTATTCGTACTGACGTCCTTTTGTTGGGGACGCTGCATTCATGCCTGCAGGTATAGATAGTCAGTTTGACGAGCTATATCATAAGACGAGATTGGCTTCAGCGAAGGATCGGTAAGACTCCACCTCATTCGGGGTGTAGCCGAGTCTATGAGTTATCGTGTAAAACTTTTTCTACAAATTTATGGGTAGGTCGGTACCCTGTCGCATATGATGTCAAATAATCTTAGAGGCTTTATAGATAGAGGTTCATTTTGTACAGTAGGTCGGAGGCCTTGACGGCCCATATGTATTCAGGTTTTAAGAAAAATGATTCAGTGATACAGTGTTGCTCACTTATAGTTATACATTATGTGTTTTGGCCATGTGTGCCCATGATAGTTACAAAAGGAATGAGTCTATCTAACTCGGCCTTTGTATGTTCTAGTTTTGGTCTAATGATCATGAATAAAAGAGTGGTTCGCTCGGGCCAGTACGACACCGTGTGCCAACCACGCCTCCCAAGGTTTGGGCGTGACAAAGTGGTGTCAGAGCGGGTCGTGTCCTAGGGAGTCTACCAAGTCGTGCCTAGTAGAGTCTCACTTATGGATGTGTTGTGCGCCACATTTATAATTGAGAGGCTATAGGACATTTAGGAAATGTTATTCTTCTTTTGATTCCAAATCGTGTCATACAGCTAAGTCGTAAGAAATTTGTATAAAGCTTTTGTCATATTATGTATACACTAGAGGTGCTATCACAATAGAGCTTTAAGGCGTAGATATGTGTTTTACTTATGTGGAAGGGAGGTTATGTAAGAAAGAGAAGATACGATGTGAGATTGAAAAGTAAGTAAGGTACAGGTGAAGAAGATACAAGGTACTCAAGCACAAAAAGTTGTGAATAGTCAAAACTTCAGAAATAGTTTGGGCTTTAAGTTTAATTTACAGAGGAGACCCTAGTGAAAAATTTGTAAATCTCTAAGAGTTAACATTCGAGGACGAATGTTCTAAAGGGAGGAAGGATGTTACATCCCGTACTTTAACATTAAGATTCGTCGAAGTAATAACATATGAGTTGGAAGGGATTAAGGTTATACATGAAGATAAAGATATAAGACCCTGTAAGTTTGAAGAATTTCGGAACTAGTATATATTGGCTTGATATGTATTTTCATTGAAGTGAACCATTTTCGGTAAAAGTTGATAAATACAATTTTATATGGTTGTGATAGGTTTTTAGATTAAATACATGACATGTATAAATGAGGTTTTATTTATTTTAAGAGTAGATAGTATTTTATCATAAGAAAAGTTATCATTTTTCTGTTTTGAGAATATATAGTACAAAAAGAATTTCTTTATTGTAAAGATATAAATTATTTTCTCACAAGAAAAGAAGGTTATTTTTTTTACCATTTTAAGAATTAAGTGTACGAAATTTGTACTTTTTGATATTAGAAAATTTAGAAGTTGAGAAAATATATGTATTTTTACATGGGTATTTTAATAAAATAATAGTGTATGTATTAATTTTATATGATGCCACAAGATCATGATAGTAAGTTATACAAAGTGTATTAAAAATAAGTGGAATTTTAAAAATTTTGAGACAAATCTTAATTACGTAGGTAATTGGTTAATTATCGGATAACGGGTTATTATCTAATTAATTAATTCAATATTTATGGCCACCCCACGTGGCAGCCTTACCTTAGGGAAATAGTGATTCTTAAAGTCATTTTGTGATGTGGCAAGCTTAGAGATGAGAAAGACCAAGGGGCTAACAGGTGCTAAAATATAACCTTGAATCATTTCCCCCCTATTCCTTTACAACTTCCCCTTATAATATTCTTGTATGAGTAGACATTGGGAATTGTTCGAGCAGAGAATGGCATTTCCTTCTATATAATACAATAATTCTCTTTACATCTAAACAACTTTCTTGTATTTTGTCTATAGAATGGCCAAACTTGGCAGTGATAGAGCTCTAGCATATGAAACAGTTTCCATCCATGAAGTTGAAGCTACAAATTGCATTGGTGCGCATGAAAGCCAATTTTATGAGCCTCTAACTGCAGCCTCATTGAATTCGGTCAGTGCACATCTGTGAAACGATCCAAAAATTGAAAATTATTAAAGGTGGGGTTTGGTTTTATTTTGGTTTGCCAGGTGAATTCATCCACGGGTTTGGTCAGGTTTGGGATCTATGGGATTTGAGGGAAAGTTGTAATAATATATCCCCCCTTATTGTGGCTTTCCTTTTTGGTCCAGCCAATGCATTTTTTTATTATGTTCTTTCCATTTTGCTTTTATAAGGGAGCATGTTTTCTCTTGGCTAAATTTGAATATCTAATAATTGGTCAGAAAATGTCTTTGAGACTAATGAAGTGAAGCAAGAAAGGAAAATTATTTTATTATGCATTATTAAAAACAAAGATCGAATGTGGTTTTTAAACTTTAAGATCTTTGCATCTTTTTCAAGACATATTTTACAAGTGCTACTCTAAAATACAGTTTGGAATAGGTGTTTTTTTAAAAGATAAATTTTAGGGTGGTGACATCTGGGCTAGTTTGAGCGCTCTTCAATTAATCTATTAAGCAGCATGCTTGAAGCCCATAACCCACAAGCACATGTGCCAGATAATCTTGCATTCTTGCTCACGAGGGGTTGGAGAAAGACTTACACAGCGTGTTGTAGCTAGAATTTGGACCAAGATTCTCTAGGTGTGTTAAGGCTAAGCTCTTACTTCATTTTTGCATGATTTTGTCATTACACAAGTTTGATAACGAAGCATAAAGAAAAATTCATATCCCGGAATTTACGTATATTTTGCTAGTCTCGCAAGTTACAATATTCCCTTTATCGGACTTCATATTCATTTGAGTATTTTATTCTTCCAGTCAAGAGAGCAGAGAGTTTACATATAAAGTATTAAAGTATAATCGATGGGCAGGCCCCTATTGGGCAACCTCTGATCAGATGGTAAGTTATATACCGATCCTACTGTGGTCGAGCGATTATGAGCGAGCCCAGTTGGTCGAGATACAGAGCCTAGTATGGCCGAGTGAATATGAGTGAGCCTACTACGGCAGAGCAGTTATATATATACCGAGCCTACCATGGTCGAGCGCTTATGAGCGAGCCCAGTTGGTCGAGATACAGAGCCTAGTATATGGCCGATCGCCTATGAGCAAGCCTACTACGGCAGAGCAGTTCTATATATACTGAGCCTACTGTGGTCTAGTGCTTATGAGCGAGCCCAGTTGGTCGAGATACAGAACCTAGTATGGCCGAGCGCCTATGAACGAGCCTACTACAGCAGAGCAATTTTATATATATACNAGGTAAGCATATCTACAAATTATCTTTGAGTTCCAGTTGCTTTCACTTATTATATTATCAGTTCAGTTTCAACTTTCTGTACATGCCTTACATACTCGGTACAATATTCGTACTGACGTCCTTTTGTTGGGGACGCTGCAATCATGCCTGCAGGTATAGATAGTCAGTTTGATGAGCTATCATATAAGACGATATTGGCTTCAGCGAAGGATCATTAATATTCCACCTCATTCGGGGTGTAGCCGAGTCTATGAGTTATCGTGTCAGAGTTTTGCTACTGATTTATGGGTAGGCTGGTACCCTGTCCCATATGATGTCAAATAATTTTAGAGGATTTTTAGATAGAGGTTCATTTTGTACGGTAGGTCAGAGGCCTTGACGACCCATATGTATTCAGGTTTTAAGAAAAATGATTCAGTGATACAGTGTTGCTCACTTATAGTTATAAATTATGAGTTTTGGCCATGTGGGCCCGTGATAGTTACAAAAGGAATGAGTCCAGCTAACTCGGCCTTTGTATGTTCTAGTTTTGGTCTAATGATCATGAATAAAAGAGTGGTTCGCTCGGGCCAGTACGGCATCGGGTGCCAGCCACGCCTCCCAAAGTTGGGGAGTGACAATCAGATTCCGATATGCAACAAAGGAATCAAATTACGAGGCCAAAAATACAAACCTAGAGCTATTAGATGAAAGGCGTGAAGCCAACTTTGTTCGATTAGCCGCCCAAAAGCAACGGATCAAGAGGTATTACAATCGAAGGTCCAATCTTCGATATTTCAATGTCGGGGACTTAGTACTAAGGAAGGTCACACTAAGCACCCAGACTCCGAACGAAGGGAAATTGGGTCCAAATTGGGAAGCACCATAACATATTCTCGAAGTCATAGGGAAAGGATCCTATAAACTCGGAATGACAAACGGAGAACAACTACTGAACAATTGGAACGTAATTCACCTAAAACAATATTACTGCTAAGTTATGACCCCATTTCTTTTCTTTTTATTTTTGTACTAACACTTGCAGGTGGTCGACACGGAGCGACAAGAAGTTTTTAGGTCTGAAAGCACGCGTTGCACTCTTTTTTCCTTGAACCATTTTTGCTCCAGTTGGTTTTTTCGGCAAGGTTTTTAACGAGACAACAGTGGATCGTGCTAACTTAGAATCAAAGGCTGATCATAAATCGGTGTCCAAGAAAGCATTAATAGTATTCGATGTCCCTCTACAATCAACCTCATATACTGGGGGTTACCCTCGGATAGCGACTTTTGCGAGGAAACTACTTCGTAACATAAGGGTCTAGATAGGTAAGATTTGTTGTAAGGGCCAAACGGTCAAACAAACCGTGCCAACATAGGTTGCTCAAGCTCTGGCATAAAACATGTACGCATGTATAACTATTTTTCACAAAAATAAAGAGAAGTACTTTCCTTGCAATTATCTTATGTTTTAAAAGATTCCTCTGTACATCCCTTGAAGAATTTCGTACTTTCGATCTCTTAAGGAAACGAGCTCAAGGGCCAATTATATCCAGAGTTTAGATGATCACTCCCTCACTCAGGGACTGCCATCCGAAAAGAAACTCAAACAGATCAAATTATTGAACATCGGGGGTGTGAACACGTGATTTTTGTCCGACAAGAAATACTCTTACAAAATTCACAAAACATAGCTTTGTTTTAATTATTTTAATTTTTATAGAATTTTTAGGAAATTCTTGTTAATTATTGTTTGCATTTAGTTGCATATTTAATATCTAAAATTATAAGAAAATATCAAAAATGTCCAAATCTTTATTACATAGCATTTTAGGTCTTAATTACATTTAAGATTTAATTAATTGACTTAATTATATTATTAAACAAAAATCACAAAAATAATGGTCAATTTTACATTTTTTTTAGCTTCTAGTTTTAAATTAGTAATTTTCTTTTAGTAGTTTAAATTTAATTAATTATTTAAGTGGTAGAAATAGATAATTAGGCTTAATTCTACAAATTAGATTAATCTAGGACTCAATTAAGTTTTTTATTTGATTAGAATTTAAAATCAAAAAGAAAGAAAAACAAGAAAAGGAAAATAGGCTATTATTTATGTTGGACCAAGTATTTCAGAGGCCCAAATGGGGGAAATTCGTATAGCCCATAAACATGCCCCAGCCCAGATCCTTCTTTAAAAATCCAGTCCAACTTTTAACGCCCAAATGCCGTTGTTTTATTCAAAAAAATCAGGGCCTTTCATCTCGTCCAATCCAACGGACGGGAACTCCTTTCCCTTTACAATAAAATTGTCTGAAAATTCCTCAAACCCTAGAATCATCTTTCCTTAACCTCTCTTCACATCATCTCTCTCAACCTCTCCCAGAACCGCCACCAGAATTTGCTTGTGGTGGCAGTTAATCCCAAAATCCACCCAAGCCATCACCTTATAGTCTAATCCTTCATCCTCATTCTATAACCACCACTATTTCCTTCAAAGAATCACTCATTCTTTTCCAATCAAAGATCTAAGAATAAAAATACATTCTTTTTGATCTTGTTCCCATATTTCCTTCTATTCCGTTTTCTCTAGTACTAGAGCTTATTTGAATCAATTCATTTGGATAAGTTTTCATTTCAAACCTTCAACTCCTTATGGATTTCTAACCTGTGAAGTATTTGCCTGACTGAGAATCGGAATAAATACTTATCGGCCAAAAATGTTTGGCGATTTGATGAAGCAAACTCAGGAAGCCATTTTTTTCTCCTCAATGCTCCTTTTGCCGTCCTCATCATCGTTTGGCGCTTCTGGTTCTAATTGGTAATTCCTCTGCTTGTTGGCATTTCAATAAATTAGTTTAATTTTGTGTTTTGCATGTACCTTTGTTAGTTTTGTTGCATTAATTCCCTAGTTCAGTGTCCAGTTGTTTCTGTTTGTTTAAATCTTAATTGATTTTAGGTGTTGTTAGTGGAATTTGGGTCCGGGTAGTACACCCATCAAACACAACATTTGATGGGCTGTGTAACCCAACTTGAGCTGGTCCAGTCTATTTCTTGTTTAGAAAATCCCACTCTTGGAAGCCTACTAAAACAAAAGAAGTAAAAGAGAACAGTAAAAAAAGAGAGGAAATTGTAATTAGCTAGAGTTTAGAGGATATTACGGGATTTTTATGTTGGGGAATCTTTCTGTTATAACAAAAAGAAATTTTTGGAAGAAAGAAAAGGACTGGTCTCTGCAAAAGAAAACAGATACAACTCATGTTTTGGGGCCTAGAAGTCAAATAACAAAAGTAAAAAGGATAAAGTTAAATTAGAAAATCAGGTTTTTATTGCCCTAACATAATCCTTTTCTCATTCATCAGGGAGTCAGAGACAAAAAAGAGACACAGCTGCTAGAAATTTACGTTTTCGTTTACATATGAGTTAATTAGCTTGTTTACCTTGAAAATAGTAATAACAATTAGATTTGATTTTGTGGTTCTAAAAATATGTGATCTATTTTTATGCTAGTTGTTTGGACATCGATGCTAAGTGAAAGATTAGGGAAAAATAAGATAATAGCTTGTGAACAGTGTAATAATCAAACCGAATGGTTGGAAATCGGGGCCTCGAGCTTGCGTATACAGGCCTCGAGGTCGAGTCTGATGCCCGGCTAAAGGCAGTTGATGGAGGATTAACAGTTATGATAAACATGATGATGGCTCTTTATGACCGATAATGAGCAATAAATGAAGAATAATTAATGAAATGTAACAAATATGAGCAAGACGATAAATGTAAGCAATAAGATCGAACAGAGAATATGTTTTAGTTAGAGAGAAAAAAATGTTCTTGTATTGGATGTAGCGTGTAATGATATTATCCGTCCCCCTTACAAAAATGACAAGGTTCCCCTTTATATGTGAGAAAAAAATCCCAATATGACAGATGCATAATTATTACATAAATTAGCTGGTACAACCACCTAATCAGTCTGGTGCACGCTGTCACTGTTTGCGCAGGCGTTGTTAGAAAATACTGCTCCTAGGGAACTTCCCACTTACTTGTGATAAGCACCGGTTCATTCCACCCCGACACCAGGCACGAAGAATTCTCGAAGACATTGAAACCTAAGCTATTATTCGGGCCCTTCGAGTTGAAATTACGTAATGCCTCGTCGACCGTAAAATTAGTCTTCCCGATTTTAGCTGTATACAGATAGTCCTCGCGTTTCTCAGAGTAAAACAAAGAGAAACTTCCTTGAGATCTTTCCTCTCTGGCGCTTCTATCGAAGCGAATAGTTGTGTCCTTCCAAGTGACTGATGTAATATACATGGCTTCTAAAGGTCGCGACCACACAATCCTCAAAGTCTTCGAATTAATTATAGTGGTTGGCTATCCTTTGGTCTGCTCCAATCGCACATGTTAGGCGTCTATAAATACTCATTTCTCCGCCCCTTACTCTCTGTTGCATCATCAGGCTCCCAACAGAGTTTTTCTTCCCTCTTACCTCTTTCTCGTGCCCTTTCCTGAAACGTGATTTTTCCTCTTCGAAGCCGGGGCGATGTGAACCCACGTCTCGATACATCAGTTTTATAACGGACATCGAAAGGGTGAAAATCAATTGTCGCTGGGGAGATGCGGTGTTAGTGGAGGTTCTTTCTCGGGGAGAGGATGTAACGATGTATAAGGCCGACTTCCTCAGTGTGTATACTTATCCATTTACCCTCGGCCCGTCGGTGCCATCCATGCCTTCGATAGACCCCATGATCCTCGACTTCTGCGAACGATATCAAGTGACTCTCGGCCAAATTCACCCGTCATTTTAGCGTATCGTTTACATGACCAGGTATTACGCGAATATGATTAGGGGGCTGCCCTTCACCCTTGACCATTTGATCAGAATGTATAGTCCCCGACTCTTTGTGGGGGCCTGATTAAGCTCCGCTGTCGGGCCTCGACGGCCCTCTTCGCTTGTACCGACGAGGCTAGGAATGGGGGATGGATGAGCCGTTTCATCCGAGTTAGGACTTCGGACTTGATCCCCGCAGAGAGGATGTCGTTCCTCGAAAGATGAAACATGAAGCGTAAGTAGACATACTTGAATAACTCCCATTTCTTTCTTTCGGATACATTTCCTTATGAACTGACTTCCCCCGCTGATACAGCTGTCGCAGTGTACCCTGATGCGGTAAGGAATCTTTCAGGTTGGGTAGCTAAACTGGACTCGATTTGACCATATGTCGAGCGCATGTGGCGCGATTTATCCAAGTCTCGATGGGAAGCCAAGGATCATGGTGGGACTCCATTCACCGTTATACTTTTAGTTTTACAAAAGTTGCTGCTAATTGCATTCTCATTCCCCGTACTTGTTTTTGTATTTGGGCAGGTCTGGGGTGGTCTTCTTGATGAGAGAAACTCTGCCTGGTCAAGCGGGTGCGCCAACACCTGATGAAGAGAGGAAAAAATGAGGGGGATCGTCGACTTATCCTCCGAAATCCAAGAAAACCATAATGGAAGATCCTAAGGATGATTCAATAGCCTTAATTCTAGAAGCGTGAAGGGGTCCCTGAGCTGGAGGCGAAAAGAAAGATGAGTCTTTGACAGCACCCGAAGCGGAAGAGGATTTTACTGTTTCACATACCTTTGATTTGGCGGCTTCTGAATTGTAGCTCGGTTCCATTGTTGCCCCGCCTCGGGCTGGAGAGTCCGGCGAGGGTGTATCGGGCGCTATTGTCGAGTCGACTGATGGCCAAAATTTCCCTCGAGTCAAGGTGCGCTCGGTAGGTGATCCAGGGGAGCCCAATTTCGAAGCTCTTCAGAAGCAAGAGACAACCCTGATTGACCTAGTCGAGGTCGTTGAAGTGAGTGATTCCCCTTCGGAATCGGCTTTTCCTCCGAGGGAGATGCAAGATACCCCAATACAGAGCCTCTCAACGTGGGGACGCCCGTTGGTGATAAAAATATGTTTGAAAAGCCTTCTGCTAAGCATGAGGAAGAGCTTAAGCTTGACATTTTGCTTATTTTTAATGAGATCGATAGGCTATGCGAGTAGGTAATCTATTCGTAAATTCTGCTTGGGGCCCCGACCTTTGACCTGCTAACCTTACTTCTTTCATGGTTCTAGGCCAAGGTGCTTTATAATCAAATGATCGCCAATTTTTAAACCGAGCTGACTCGCCGTGAGGGCGAACATACGAAGCTTACCTCGAAAGCCGATGAGCTCAGGGCTCTTTCTACCAAGAGGGAGGAAGAACTCCATGGACTTCGGGATTGCTTGGAGGCAACGTCACGGGAAAAGGCTCATCTTATTGAACAGGTTACGTAGTTCCCGTTTAGTTTTTGCCTGTACGTCTAACTGACTTCCGTGTTTTAATATCTTTGGGTCAATTTTTGCAGTTTAAGGAGAAAGATGTCCTTATGGGGAAGGAACTTCGAGCCAGGGACTCCGAAATTCTCAAGCTCAAGCGGCATTTGAGTGAGGTAATCTCTGAGAGAGATCCCTCCAGGGAGAGGTGGTTTCGATCGGACGTTTCCTTGAAGATGCGAAGGATGAGAGCAGTAAGCATAAGGATCTTTATACTAAGTTGGTTGCTACGCTATCCGAGGTCAGGGATGAGGCCGAGGCGCTTGTGACCTCGCATAAGGAGGATGTCGCTACTACAATTGCTCAGGCTCGGAAGGTGTCCGAAGAGGCTGAGTTGTGCCTGACCCGAGCAGTAGAGCATGCCCGGTTAGAATCTTGGAGACAGATGTTCGAGGATATAAATGCGGGGGGGAGTTGATTTAATCGTCGAGATTGAGAGGGTGAAGATCCTAGAAGAGGGAGTTGCGGCCCTACTTCCTTCTGAAAGTGAGTCGAGCAGTGACTAGGGAGGTGATGGAGATGGAGGCTAAGTCCCAGAAGGGGAAGAGGCTGTTGGAAACCCGGAGGTTATAGCCGAAGCTGCAGAAAGCGTACTTTCTGAGGAGGTCGTCGAAGGCATAACTCTGGTGATAGATTTAGGTTTTCATTTGCTTTCTACCTTCGTAAGGGCTCCATATGTAGACTTTATAATTGTACTTTTATGAATCTTTTTATATGTGTGTCAATTTTTTACCTTTTTTTTCCTTTGAACGACTTGTGGCATTCGTTTGGCAGTTGATCCGAAGTCGTGGGTCTCAAATTTTGACCCTTGGGTTCCTACTACTGCCGAGCATTTTGCAATGGCCGAGAGTCGACCTGTAAGTCTATCATGTTGGATCTGAGGCCATTTGCACGGATTTTTTAGATTCTCACGCGTCGGGGTCGATACGACCTTTTAATGTAAGCTAGCGTCTTAGGCTCTTATTCTTTTGCTCTTAGGCATATTCAGTTAACTACTTCTGGTTCAGTCTCCGAATCAGGTTTCGACTCGAGCTCATTGACCCTTAAGTTTTTGAATTTAAAGCTGGCCCTTAGGCTCTTACGCATTAGGTCGGCGTGACCTCTCGTACGAGCAGGCAGCAGTAGCTCTTACGCATTGGGTTGGTACGACCCTTTATGTGGGTTGGCGATAGTGGCTCTTACGCATTGGGTCGGTATGACCCTTTATTTGGGATAGCGATAGTGTCTCTTACGCATTGCGTTGGTACGACTCTTTATATGGGCTTTATGTTTCCATCGATAAGGACTTTTTTGACATTGTGTTTGCCTGACTCTTTTGACGGTTCGATAAAAACCTCAATTGTGAGTCATTATGTGGCGATGAACGAGCACCTCAGGAGGTCTCGGTGGCTGAGTGTTTCGAAGCTTATAGTTTGGAGCTGACATGGTCAAAGCTCTTTTGCCTATGTCGAGGGCAGCCTATTTAACCGGTTCTT